GCGGGGCCGACTGCGGCCGGGCCCCTGGGGCCGCGGTCCGCCGCAGCTGTCCTCGGATGCGCGCCCTCGCCGGCCGCGGGGTCTGCGGGGACTCCCGGGCGGCCCCGGCTCCAGGTGTCGCGCCGGCGCTCGGCCGGCCCCGCCCGACCTTAAAGCGACAGGGCTGGGGGTTGGGGCTTCCCGGCGCGGAGGATCGGAACCGCCCTCGAACTGCTCGGGAACCGCCTGTCCTTAGGGTCGTCCCGCCCCCACGACCGCCCTGGGCCGGGCTTGAGAATGGAGACACAGCCCGAGAGCCATCGCCGCTCAGCGGTGCTCAGGACTCTTCTCACCCATTTTACAGAAAGGGAAATTGAGGCCCAAAGAGGAAGAGTCACTTGCTTAAGGGTTTCCCGTAACCGGCTTTGTCTTCTCACAGCCGTCAGTCAGAGAGCAAGCCCTCCCGGGCCCTCCTGACCCCACAGCCTGGGGAGAAAGACATTCTCGGTGGTAATGACCAGCTTGTACAGGCTTCCCTTTCCCCAGGCCACCGCCCCAGGGCGTGAGAGGCCGGGGAGAGTGGGGTGGAGATCAGTGGCCTCCCACCAGCCCTGTGCCCTGACTTCTCTGAACCTCCCTCCTGTGTCAGAGGAGGGCTGGTGATCCCCAGCTCACAGGTCCGAGGATTTAGTGAGTTAAGCAGTGCAGTTTTCACGGGCAGGTGATTTGGGAGCCTGGATGTAAGGTTCGCTGTGTGTGCACGTGTGTGTGTCTATAGGATGACATCTGAGCTGTCTTAGAAGGGCAGCAATGAGGCAACAGGTCCAAGCAGAAGGAGCGGCATGTACAAAGTCACAGGCTGGTTAAATCTTGACAAATTCATGTGGGTCATAGGGAGCTGGTTCCAGGACCAGGAAAGGTTTTGCCTTTCCTGCTGCTCCAACAAGCCAGGGGACTGGGGCAAGATTGCCCTCAGCTATGGCGAAGGATTCCCCAACGAGCCTGCTGGTGACCAACTCTCTTCCCCATCCA